TGTCACTTTGCTTGCATATCAAAAAATTGGTAATTCTTTTCACAGGTTGAAGCACCCGACGCTAAGTATAATTGTGCTGATAAATATTTTTCATTACTCGTACTTTGCTTAGCAATCTACACATATCGTCTCTGTTACCACATATACATTTCAAATCATAAACTCGATAGAAGTCCTGTCTTTTTCTTGCACAATAATTTGAATGAAATAATTCGAGAATTTTACTTCATTGTCCACAAGGATGTCTGTAATTTTTGTAGCACAAGATAATCCTGGGATCTGCTATTTCATTCCGAACCAGAGTATTCTGTATGGGCTATCTTCGCTATATTATTAATACAATATACAATGACACTATGGCGATTTATCTGGATTTTGCTGACGAAAGAGCAAAAGTCGCTTAGATGGCTCCAACACTATGTGAATTACTCTTGAAAAAAGTAGCATTTTGAAAATTGTTTTGCAGATAAGGGAGGCAGATTCTCCCGATTACTGCCAACTATGACTTACTTGTCAAGCAGTCAAAAGGAATTTAGCAAGAAATATGACACAAAGCGATTCGCATAATCCTGCACTCCGGCAGACAAAGCATTTTGCATGAAATATTGTCGATTACATTTACGAATGTCAGCCTCTGACTACAATACTCTCATTCACTCTCTTCCGAATCTTAGATTCCGCGCGATCATTTCCAGCATGTTGCCTTCATAATTTACTGGAATTGAGACGTTATGTGATCAGACTTACAAGGGAGGTCCAATTAGTTGAGGTGGCCTTTGCAAATGAGTTTTACACCATTTTGAAGAGCATCAAACGGCCACTCGAAATCTTATTTTATTATCTGCCGAGCGCCTCTGCATGCCGAATTACGAGTATTTTTTGGTGTGACAAAATGACACTACAACACAACACTTTGATACATACAGGAGCGAAGCAGGTATTGAGTTCTAGGCTATATTCTTTTTGAGTCGTCTAAATAATCTAAGTGAAATCGATCGCTGGAGCAATTTCAATACTTTTCAAATCATGATTTTTCGCTCCGTTCTCGCAATCGCTTACGTATTTTCAATATGCAAGTACACTTGCCTTCAAATGAAAATCAAAATTTTTTCCTAGATATTGCAAGGAAATTCCTCCTGATATGTTGTCCAAAAGCTTGCTCTATCATACTGCATATTTGCTTAATGAAAGAAGCAGTTATCGTAACGGCGTGTGTCGAACATCCTACTGGTGCCACGACAGGCGGACTCGCCAATATCTAGAAGGGCTGCTTTGAAGGCGGAAAAGGTAAACTCAAAAGAGAGCACGCTGTAATTGTAAGGGTTTGACTTATGTGTGCATCAGACTTTTTTTTAGGTGCTTTCCGGGTGGAGGACATTAGGTCGCCGAAAGAGGGCGGTCCCCGTGGTCATTTGCAACAAATACGCACCCTTGTACATCCGCGGACATGCGTTCCTGAAGGGAATCCGCGCGGGACTCTTCCAAATTCGGCGACCTAATGTCCTCCACCCGTGCTTTCCTTCCAATTTTATCTGAAAAATTACTAACTCTATTGTAAGCTGTACTGTAACTGTACTGTAGCTCTACTGTAACTGTAAGCTCTCAGATCGCCAATAGATTATGGTTAGCTACAAAACAATGTGAATCCTCTAGATTGACGAATGATCGGTTATACGAAGTGCTTTTTTTTTGTAGAATTTGAGCATATAAATTAGTATGAGATAACCAAAGTGGTATTTGTACAGTGATAGTATAACATTATTGTGATATTTGTGCAAGTCGTATGATTTGAAGTACATAAGTATCAAAGTACAACCTTCCCTGTCTGGGCCATAAACTACCACTGTATCTGTGTTATCTTTAGCCAATCGAGCCGTATCGTTGAAAGTCAATTATCAGCAGTAAAAATTTTAGGATGGAAAGAATGAAGTTGGAAAGATGAACCTTACATCATGTCTTTGTGCGTCAAAAAGATATATTCAAAACAGTACTGCGAAAATGGATGAAGATATGAGTTTATCACAAAGTCTTATGTTTGCTCAACTGTCACATATTCAGTGCAAAAGTTCATGTTAATCCAGCTTTCGAACTTTTCAAATCTGTGGTCGCAGTTTAGTTTGCTTGCTTTGTAGAAATGTTGAAACTTCTTTTTCAAACGGTTCGTTGTGTGCCATTCTCCATTCCATCAAACCAATTTGAACTCAAATCATTTTAGCTGTTGCTCGCAGTAGCCACCTATGCTGATGATACCAGTGATACTATTTGTAAGTTAATTGATTTCTCCTAGCTCTTTTATAATGATTCTGCTTTAGTGGTAGCCTTCAATAAAACGATATCGGTGGGACCACCGGTAAGATTTAAAGCTCTGTTGATTTGTTTATAACAACACTCTTAAGCTTTGACACTATAACAAGTTCGTTCCCAATTATAGATTTTCAGATCAGTGTTTGTAAAGAGTACATGAAGAGCATTTTGACCTTTTAAGGGCATAAAATATAGTATTGATTATCTTTCCACCAGTGGCGAACCGAGGGAAGGGGGGGGGGGGAGAATTTGAATGGGTCGCTGAATGTTTAGAAGTGACACGAGTTATAGGTGCGCAAATAATATGTTCATACTTGTAAACTGAAAATAATTTTTGATATTCTTCAAATAATTCAAGTTAGCCTCGTAAATTTTTTCGGGGGCGAGGCATTTCTAAAATTTAGGGGCTGTAAGGTCGCAAAAAAATTTTTTGGGCTTCGTAAATTTTTGAGACCTTGCAAAACTTTTGTCGCCCCCCCCCCCGCCACTGGGACGAAAATCCTGCACCACCACTGTCTTCTACCTACCGCAGCCTGAATCGAAATGTCATTATAAAAAACCGCTACTAACAAAATTCACTTATGTGATCAAAGATTCATTGTCATAATATCAATCAATTCCTGACTATGTGATCTCATTCATCATCCTTCCCCCAAAACAGGAAAGTTAAAGATTGGCTTTCTTTTCAAGTATTTAATTATAGTAAAACATTCAAAACCTAAATAGGGCGTGGGCTACAGCGTGGCGCTACCATGGAAACAAAGCTTTCAATCTTCAAAAAAGTTGCCAAGAAACTTGTATAACGTTTACCGCATGGATCTTGGGATAGAATATTGATGAAAGAATTTGAGTTTTCTCTGCTTCTCCAATGGCGGGGACTTTATAAAGGTACGGCATATTGCAAAGTGGACATCAGAAGCTGAGTGTGCACATATGACAAATCAAAAGTCTGCTATCTTTCAGGACTGACTTGATTTGTCATATGTGCACACTCAGCCTCTGATGCCCACTTTGCATATGCCATACCTTCATAAAGTCACCTCAGAAGTTTTTTTTTTGATTTTTCCTTTTTCCACAACTTCTTTTAGGATATGAATCTAGAAGATTGATATTCTCGTGAAAGAGGAGTGTATGTCTTTTCAACGACTTCCAAATTACCAACTTCCACGAAAATAGTCTCGTCTACTGCGACTCCAAATTTTTTTTTTGAAGTCAGTATGACTAAGACATAGTGCTGCAGGAGGAGCTGCAAAAATCGACCATAAATTGCTAAAGACAGTCTACTGCAGTATAAAAGTAGAATCTCTTTTGATACTCAAAGAAGTTTTATGTTAACCGTTTCGAACCGGTACTGCACATGGTGCAGCACGCGGCTTTGAAGGCTCTTTCTAACGTTTAAAGGAGGTTTTCTTTTTGTCCAAGGTTATCAAGTCAAAGGCCTAAGCTCCTTCTTTTCAAATAACGCTGCGCATATTTGTTTGGGAGATTTGAGGACAAATCGAACAACAATTACAACGAAGTGCGGCAGCGCGAACGACGCGTGCGACGTCGCATTTTTTCCTTGCTCCGAATTCAAAGAGAAAAACCGTACTTTCAATAATGATGTGTACCGTGTACAACATAGATACTTTTGAATACTATTTAAAACTGAGTTCTTACTCCTATCTTTCAAGAAAGCATAAAAGTCCCTCGCAAGTGACAAAATTCAAACACTTCGAATTTACTCAAAACTTTGGGTATGTGGAGCTTACCTGACATGCTGGTTACAGATGTGGCCCACAGGCTGCGAAATAAGGTCCTCGGTAGGCTAACGGCTGAAGATACACTCTTTTTAGCCGCGCGCGATTACGCGGTCCGAAACGTGTTAAACAAGTAACATAAAGAATCGAGACTCTTAAAAACGCACAAATCTCAGTAGGAAGATCTATGAACTTATGAAGAATCTGTCTTGCAGAAAATAAGCTACACACCATTCGTTGCCAATTTCATGAAATATTCAGTATAAAAAATAAGCAAACAGGAAATATCTGACAATGGAAAATTTAACATTAGTTTTCTACCATAATTAGCGGCCCAGAATTTTCCATGCTTACACAGCTGTAAAAGAAGCAATGCTTCCCCTATATGCACTGCGGATCTTTTCCTCACTTCTGCTCCTTTCGTTTCTTTTCGTGACAATTTACTCTCCTTCAGACTAATTGGAAAAAAATAGTATTTTGGGGCGATCTGATATTGTTATCATAGCGTACTTCTTCAACTATACTTACAGGTTGCTTCGGTATTGATGAGGGACAATGAATCAGTAAGTATAATCCAGTGAATAGTACGAAAAATATGAGCTCAGTCCATTGACTCAAATAATTTGCAGGAGAGTGAGGAAAGCTCATCTGAGTCTTATGTGAGTTCACTTTCAACATCCAGAATCGCACTTTGTAAGGGTTACTCAACTGATTTTCCATTCCAAAGATTCGCGACGTGTTCTTTGATAACTCAGACTCAATTTGAAAGGCTTTGCCTTAAAATGGAACACGATTCTCTAAATGTCAAATATCACTAGCCATAAGTGTCAACCTTAATGCTCTGATAATAGATGATATTCAGTCTACCAGCGAAAGTTCGAGTTCGGAATTTTCAAGTGCAGAAAGTGGATATGAAACAGGAAGCGTGAGTGCATTCTTTACTGTTATTTACATGCAATGCGCTTTTTGAAAATTCTTCAGTACCTTAGTTATGAGAGCGAAAGTGACAGTAGCGACAGCTCCCTCGGTTATGAGAGTGAATGGGAAAGTAGCGACAGTGAAGAAGCAATGGAGGTGAGTTTCTTCTGGCTTTGCGGTTATTAGAAGGCAGGATTTGTATGTATATAGTTGCATTTCAAAGTGTAAATGATGTTTTCAAGCGGCGCGATCACTGTACTGGATTCCCTAGCCTTCTCGAAATCCTGTTTCTACAGTACAATTTGTTCCTTTAGTTTCTTTTACAAAACCTATGCTTAGCTTTCAATGAAAGTCCGAAAAAAATAAAAGAAATTTTAGATCTTTGCTTCTATTCTGCGACACTCAAACTGAATAAATCGCATAGAGATTGCATCTCACAGCTCTACTACCAAAAATCCTCGATAGAATAAAAATAAAGAGCTAAGCAGATAAAGCTAACAGCTAACAAATTAAATTAAAAGCACTGAAGTGGTTCCATCACATCAAGATTCACTTCTTTAGCATTTGATGCATTGCAAGGTTACTCGCTAACTTTTCAAGAAACGTTGATGCCTCTTTTGGTTATAGCAAAAATTGGTGGGGAATTTCAACCGTATCAATGTACAGTAGTCATTTGATGTAGACAGGCTTTGGCACAGGTGGCTTGTAAGCAAGCTGGATACTTCGTTTTCGGGACAAAAAGCAAAGGGATATCGTTTTTGAGGCGAAAAAGACACAAAAATTGCCAAGTTTTTTGGATTGACGTTTCGTTTTACAAAGTTTTTTCACATTCATGGTTGAGAGAATTGTGGAAAAATACGAGGAATTTTCCTAATTCCGATCTGGAATTTAACAGTAGGTGGGCAAGTATTACCTAATTCAAAAAACTTGTACGCTTATTTATTCATGAAAACTTTTTTTGGCGTCTGCTCCTCATTGCAAGCATATATGCAGAAGACCTAGGCCGGTAGTAAACCTGTCGAAGCGCGCAGCTCAAACTCAGAGTTAACTCTGAGTTAACACGCACCTTTCAGGGACCATTAACACCTGCATAAGCAAACGAAACTGGGGAAAGGGTTATATGGCAGGATACCCCGCAAGATGTACTTTATGCTAAGTATGGAAACGCAGCGTAATTCGTTTCACGCGAGACGCTACGCGACGAAACGCGCATCTCAGCTGCGCGTTCACTCTGAGTTTGCTGCGCGTTTCAACCGCCCGCGAAACTCGGAGTTAACTCTGACAAGGGAAGGAAGGTTGGTCGAAATGGCCTTTTGAAGTGAAGTGTACAATGCATTGTAGAGCTTGGAACGCTGATTCCAAATCTACCTTTGCTATCTGCTGCGGGCTTCTGGGCGACGAGTTATGAAGGTTTCTATGAGTAAAAATCTGAATGCAAAAATAGGGTAAAATCAATCGTAACCTTTCCCCAATGTTCAAATGAGGCAGCAGCGGGTTGGTTTGTTTGAATTAAGAATATTTGTTGCACCTAGTGACCCGACTACCAATTAAGCCCTATAAAAATGTGACGACTGATTTTAGCCTACTCTTGCATTTAGATTTTTACTCACAAAAACCCTCATAACTCGTTGCGCAGAAGCCCGAAGCAGATAGCAAAGGTATATTTGGAATCAGCGTTCCAAGCTCTACAAGGCAGTATACATCTCATTTCAAAAGGCCACTTCAACCAACCTTCCTTCCCTTGTGAGTTTGGTTAGAGAAAGAGAAATAGTGCGTAAACGCAGAGGTCCAGAAAATGTCCTCCGGGGTAGATTTTGCTCTGAGTTTTATGAAGCATCATGGGGTATCATGGTGCACCGTTGAACACAAAAATTTGAAATTTTGTAAAATTTTGGTCCCGGGGGTTATCCGACGCGCTGATCACGAATCCGATGTTCATTTTTCGCCATTCGCCCACATGAGGGGGTTACGGTAGGGATACGTTAGTTGGGCGGAAGTCACGAATTTGGCTGCGACTTGGTACGCTGGGGTTATTTCGCACGCTGATCACGAATATAACGTTCGTTTTTCGCTATAGGACCACATAACGAGATTACAGTAGGGATACGGTTATTGGGTGAAGGTCATGAATTTGGCTCAAACTCGGTACAGTGGGGTTTTTTGGCACGCTGATAACGACTATAATAGTCGTTTTTCGCCATTCGCCCATGTAGCGCGGTTACGGTAGAGATACGGTAATTGGGCGAAAATCATGAATTTTGTCGAAACTTGGTACAATGGGTTACTTCGCATGCTGATCACGAATATGATAATCGTTTTTCGCTACAGGGCCACAAAGCGGGATTACGGTAGCTATACAGTAGCTGGGCGAAGATCGCAAGATTTGCTGAAACTTGGTGTGGTGGTTTATTTGCCATGCTGCTTATGAATATGCTAATCATTTTGCATGAAAATGCAATTTATGGTTTTCAGCAGCCAGCCATCAGTGCGGTATTTCGTCTTGAACCTCTAAGCAGCTGTGTGCGCTGTGAAATTAAAGAAATAAGTCAAGTCTCATCCATATTTTCCAAAAGCACGTGCACCCTAAGTGGTCTTATAGAACGATCCTTGATGCCATAAATGTATGTGTCAACTTAAACTTCAATATCATTTTCGCATGACCGCGACCATACAACTACCAGCATTGAGAAACTAATATATACTCCCAACCACCTCCTCCGAAAATGTAAATGTAACAGATTTTCGCAAGAGATTTTTTCACCGAAACCAAACTATGTATGCTTTTTGCCAGTTTGTGATATAATTGTAACGAACGCAAGTTTTCATCGAATGAACAAATGTCGAATAATATCTTTGAAAATTCATCGAACGAATGAATAGCGAATAATTGTATTAAAAAATTTTCAAATGAACAAATATTGCTCGATTTCCGATTTTTATATTACTCGAATTTGAATATTCGAATGTGGGCACATTCCAAAATTTGAACTTTCGATTATTCGATTAACCGAACTTGATCGAATGACTATTCGAATAAACGAACAACTGAATATCATTGAATATCGAATGCAATAATTATTCGAATACTGGCATGCAATATTCGAATATTCAATCGCAATAGTCGATTTGAATATTCGAACAAGGATTTCCCAAAATTCTCAAATATTTGTATAGTTGAATAACTGTCTTTTCAAATTCCTAGCATATGCGAATATTCGAATAATTTTTTCTCCCGATTTGTGAAATGAACGAATTCGAATGAAGAAAACTTATCAGGCGGCCAGTGGCGGTCCTAAAATTTTTGTGCGGGGGGGGGGCGCTAAAAAAATTTTTTGAATGAAGATGCATGGCGTTAGCCACGCACTCCGAAGAAAGTTCTCAAGTTTTTTGCCTCCCAAAATGAAGAAAAAGGGGGCGTAGCATGAGCCACGCCTCCGAAAAAATTTTTTTACAGGGCTAATTTGAATTTTTAAGAATTTTAAAAATGCACATTTTTATAACCCATGTAAGTAAATTTCGAAAATTTCGCGACTCATTATCGGGAGGGAGGGCACCCCCTTCGGTCCGCCACTGCAACCTGCCGATAGTACTTTCAAAATGATAGAGGCGTGTTGATGATTTCATAATGCGTTTTTATCACACATGGCTTTTACATTTTACATACGTTCGAGTTCGAGAGCTTTTAGCTAAATTTTGGTACTTAGATTATGTTTTGTCAATAAAGCAGTCACCTTCACTAGTTATCCTATTTAGGTATGCAGCTGGAGATAATCAATTCTTCTAAGATTGGTATTTTCTGAATAAAAGATGATATCGTAGGTGGGGGTTGAGAATGGGGGGGGGGGTACGTATAGATTTTGTAGTGAATCATTCTGCTTAGAGCGAAAAGGCACCGTGCCTCTTGACGTGCCTGAACACGTAGGATGTAAGCAACGGGTATCAATGGCGGCATAATGGCTGTGGTGCTAGGATGCTCTGTAGTCCAGTGGTCTAGTGGTAGGCACTTAGCGCCGAGCGAGGAGAGTTCGACTCCCGACCTAGAGTGTTTTGCGATGAAGAGTGTGGTAGCTCCTGAACGACTATAGCAGCTCCGCAAGCAGCAGAACGAAACTCCGAGTTTCAGAAATGAAACTCGGACTTCGTTTCTGAAACTCGGAGTTAACTCTGCGTTTCAAAACGAAACTCGGAGTTAACTCTGAGTTAACGCGTAGTTTTAAACTCGGAATTTCGACCAGATTACTACCGGCCTTGGTATCATATCACTGACTGCCTAGTAGAGTTAACGGGTTTACTATCGGTACAGAAAAAGATGACTTTTTTAGTTTGAGGAGCATTTTTGAATTTTTTAATTTTTCCAATTAATTTCTAATTTCCAAAAAAGAAGTTTTCCATGAAGAGAGGCGTTGAGTGTTAATAGCGTTAATGATGAAAAAAAACCGTTGCGTCACCCTCTTCACAATTTGAAACAGCGCTTTCATTGGGGAATAACCTTTACATATATGCATGGGCCACGTAAATCAAGCATTCCCCCTCTTCTTTTCTTTAAAGAAAAAATTTCTAGGTTTTGTACCGTCCTACTACGCCTCCTCCTCCCCCACCCCATAGAGCTTGGGGACATGGCAGGCCAATACTTCAGCGTCTTGACGCTAATATGTAAGTAGAATGTGCTCCATCTTAAAGTTCATACGTGTACGCAAAAAATATGCTTTTGTTACAGGCCGATTAGCTAGTATCGAGAAGACGAGAACTATTCAATGGCTGCAGACTGTTCAATTTGAGTTCTCAAGGTTACGGTTGCTAAAAGTAATTACGAAATGTATGAGGTAGTGAAACTCAATAATGCACAAAAGCGCATTAGCGACTTTTATCAATGTTTCTACCACTGTTCTTCCACTTGTGAATTATGTGAATCGTAATTATTTTTTACAGATTGAAGCTTCTTAGGCTATCTTCTGCGATTTTACTGCTGATACATTTCTATTACTTGAGATTTTGCTTAGCAATCTACACATTATTTCTGTCAACATATAAATTTTGAATATATAACATATGAAGTGGGACATTTTCTTTCTTACACTTCAAACGTAAATGAGTGAAGAGTTTCTATTCCAACCGATAAGCTTCAGAGCTTACACTGGTTTGCTCCGTAAGAGGCAGAAAACTATGTTTGCTCCAAAAGTGCACAAAAGGAAAGGACTTTATAACTGAAAGTCAAAGTACTACTAAGTCATTCTATCTTGGCTTATTTGGCTATCTCGGCTCTCATTTGCAAAATATTCAGCAATCTTGACCACAAAACCATACATATTATAAGTAATTGGTTAATCTTACTTTTATGCTTATTCTGCAAAGCGCTTTGAGGAGTTAAGGACGGTTTTCTTTTTTTTTCCTTTTTTGGTAATCAAGTCACCATTATTGGACATGTTGCCAATTTCATACTACTAACATCATTGAGGCTAGGTACCAATATAGTGCGGTGATCTACTCTGTTGTTACAAATAAACCACTTTTTCAAAAGAATCAAGCTGTTTTTTGCTTTACTAGCAAACTTAGAGTACAGTTCGATGAAAGCAGCCTTTACAAAATAACCGCCAAAAATCGTAAGTCATAAGTCTAACCAAAGTTTGGAGCTGAAAGCTAAAAATTTTTATATACCCCAAAAATCGGATCTCCTTATAGAAAATTCCTGCGGTCCTTCAACTCAGTCGCCATACAATACGCATATAATAGTATTCATAAAGGTATTTGCTGAATTTTATCCGATAGAGAAAACGATAGCATATGGCAAACTCGGCCCCCAGCTTCTCCCAAATATGCCATTGTGTACTGCAAACCTTAGTAAGTGTAGGCTCAGAATCATACCTCTATATGTGCCTTGCTAACGGAGATACATCAAGTTTAACATTTGAAAAAACTCGAAAAAGTTAGCATTTCTGTATCTTGGGTTAATTTTTACGTCTGGAAAAAACTAGCAAATGCATTTCTGAATACTACTATGCATCAATTATATTATGACCAATTTGGACGTCCATAGGAATTTTCTAGAAGAAAAATTGGTTTTTAGAATTTGAAAATTTTGATTTTTGGCTCCAAATTTTACACAGGTTTCGACTTAGGTGGATCATTGGCAGTCATCTTGTAATGTTTGCTTTGTTTCATCAAATGGTGCTCTAAGTCTGGTAAAACACTCACGGCTGTGAGTGAATAACCACAACAGAGCTTTCTGGTTATCCTGCACATGACGGATTTACATCATTTCTTCTCCTTATTATTGATTTACTCAAAAATGTGGTGTTTCTGGGGAGCCCAACATTTGAATTCGGTAGATAAAAGAGCAAGGATATCGGATAAGGATGATTCTGACCCGCAGCCATGCAAGATACCCTTTATCCTTGGAAAGTATCATTGCTGCAGCTCGGTGAGCTCTACGCCCCTTCCAAAGGTGCTCTTCTGCCCTACACCAGAGTTCCCACCCCAAAGAGCTTCCGCAACTGCGGTGCGCGCCAAACCACAGTGACGCGCTACGCCTACACACAGGGAACAAATAAATATAAATTTACTAGCTTGAAAAACACAAGACCAAGCACGAATATAGAAAGAACGTATCACGGGGAGGGTTAAGTTCAACCCCGGGATACAAGGGACTATAGCTCACTCACACTCCCTTTCCTAACACATTTTCACGCTCTCCCGACTTCCAAGGAAGTGACCCACAGGTCGGCAAGCACGCGCCTTATCGAAGCTCCGTCCCGCGCGCTTGCCATAACACAACACTGCGAAGTTGCAAAACTTCAATTTACAGCGTAGACACATAATCAAATTTGGACCGTATGCATGGATTAACAGTTGAGGGAAAAAGTACGTAAACGGTAACACTATGGAGTACGTCTATGGTGCAATAAGCTTTTGTTAAAGCTTCGAGTGAATGGTCACTTATGTGCTGTAATTTTTATCCGGATCACATGCAGACAAAATAGCACAATATCTTGTTATCAGCCAGAACGGTACTTTCAATTGCATTCTTTGCTAACGTAGCTAAATGAATCTCACAATCAGTCAATGCAGGAGCGACTTCAAACGAAAATTGTAAGGTGGATGTACCGTATACGAACAGAAAGTTTATATTAGAGTCGTTGACCGCACGGGCTGTCCATCGCCCCGGAGTACGCGCCGTGAGGTAAAACGCTTGCCCCAATACAAATTCGCCATTGTACAAGTAGTGCTCTCGCGTCAATTCAGCCGCGCCGCACGTGGTCCGCGGCAATTGAGCTGTCCGTGCGGTCAACAAATCGACGACCTTGTTGTTGACAATATGGAGTTTTGCAATTTCGCAACACGGCTGTTGTGCCAAGCACGCGGGGCGGGGTTTCCGTGAGGCGCGTGCTTGGCACTGTTTTGACCATTCCGGTCTTTCGTCAGCTAAGGAGGAGCACCGTTTTGCGCTCTCCTGTCAAGATGTGAAAATATTTGTCATGTTTTCGATAAAAAAGGATCTGCTTATTAACGAATCAGCCAGTAGCAACGGAACACAGTGAGTTGTCGATATTTCAGTACAGTGTGCTAGTCCTGCCTGCATCGTATAAATCCCAGTCGATAGTGTATCCTCCTTTAAGGACACTGGGGCTCGTAGATTTAAATTTGATATTCTCGTATACGGGTTAGTTTGTGATTTGGCGTCGAAGCGTTCTTCCTCATCCTTATGAGCCTTCGAGAACGATTAAGTTGAAGGCTGCAAGATTGTCAGAAGAGAGTGCTGATAGGTTTCTTTGTCGTTGTCGTATAGCACGTTTGAACTAAATCATCGCATACTCATGTCATGTGGATTGGCCGTTGGGTCAGTTCTTCATTAAGGTAAGATTCGTTGTTGTCAGACTTCCATTTCCGCATCTCTCATTGAGCTCAATTTCTCCGCAAGCGCTCAGGTGCCCCCAATGCTCTACCATTGCTAGAACGGGGGAAAGGCCCACTAATCTGCTTTCGGAGATTCCTTCATGTTTAGGGGCATCTCTTTTCACCCTCTTATGTAACAAATTCAATCTCTTTGTGGATATTACTGCTCTACTGCATTGGAGCGACGATTTTCATGCATATCTATGGATTCGTATGCTTCGTGCAGCATTCTATGGCTGCTCCCTTTGATTATCACTTTGATCATAGCTTCCTTGAGTGGAATGACTTGCTTTGCCGACTCTCAAATGTCACAGAAGTCGTATCCTTGTTGATAGAAAGAGCTAGCAAAACTCGGCTCTTCAGCCGATACTGGGGCTGTGCACATGCTAATTTGGGTTTGATTGAGTGATAGTTTTGCTGGACGTCGAGGTCCCAATATAGGGTAGGGTTATGTGGCTATAGCTGAAGATCTAAGCCAAAGATTCTGGATATCGGTTTGGAAAGGTAAGTCAATGGTTATGGATGTTTGGAAAAAAAAGGAGTGAGATGACGACCTGAAGCTGAGGTGCGCATGTAGAGTTTTGGATTGTAGTGAATGATGAACAATGGTGTGTTTGATGCCGGCTGCCTATAGCCGAGGTGTTCCTGGATCCCGTTCCAGCGGTTAACTGGTGAGAAACGGTCTAGCATGTAGAGCCATGGATTGTTGTGAATTATGGAATGATGAGTTTGATGCCGGCTGTCTATAGCCGAGGTGTTCCTGGATATCGATCCAGAAGTTGACTGTTGAGTAACGGTCTCGCATGTAGAGTTATGGATAGTAACGAATGATGGAAAGGTGTGTTTGATGCCGGCTGCCTATAGCCGAGGTGTTCCTGGATCCCGTTCCAGAGGGACTGTTGAGTAACGGTCTCGCATGTAGAGTTATGGATAGTAGCGAGTGATGGAAAGGTATGTTTGATGCCGGCTGCCTATAGCCGAGGTGTTCCTGGATCCTGTTCCAGAGGTTGGCTGGTGAGAAACGATCTAGCATGTAGAGTCATGAATAGTAGCGAATGATGGAAAGGTGGGTTTGATGCCGGCTGCCTGTAGCCGAGGGGTTCCTGCATCCAGATCCAGAGGTTGACTATCGAGTGACGGTCTCGCAAGTAGAGTGTTGGATGTTGTCGAATGATGGGAAGTGTGATACCGGCCTCCTATAGCCGAGGTGTTCCTGGACCCCGATAAGGAGCATGACTGTTGAGACGGTCCACAAGCTAAGTCTTGGTTTTCAGCGAATGATGAAAAATTTAGTTTGATGTCGCCTTCTTATAGCTGAGATGTTCGGGATCCCGAACCGATCCAGGGGTCGTTTGACAGTCCACATGTAGAGTCTTGGATCAACGGATGATGGAAATAGCTGGAGGTTGCTCCCATATAGCATGTTCTTGTATCCCTATCCAGACGCTGAATGTTGTGTGATGGCCGGGATGAGTATTGGGTTCAAGATTGTGTTGTAGGAGACGAGGCCTCCCTGAAGCCGAGTGGACCTGGGTCCTGGCCAAGTATTGTTTGGTATCGCGCATAGAGTCTCACATATAGTTATTATCGGGAAAAGCAAGGTCTTGCAGATAAAGTCTTAGATATCACTTCGTTGACGGGAGTAAGTTCTACAATGAAGATGCTGTGACGAGTACGATAGGGGCTTCCATAATCCCATGCTTCGTCCAGTGGAGGAAAACCGTGTTACACGTGTAAAAGCTCGAGCTAGTTATGTTAGTGGAAGAAAGAGTATAGTGTTAGCTTTCCGAAGCTGTTGTACATAGGTGTGCGATCTAAGGATCTTTAGATCTGGATCTGG